TACATCACTACATGTAATGCACTACATCACTACACGTAGCGGTTCTACTCTGCACACATGGGGCAGCTATGAGTCAGAATCGACTAGACGGCAACTAACAACAGCAACATTTTTATGAAGATAATTGCTCCCTATAAAGACTGTTGCCTGGTTTGCACACAAAAAGCACTGGTTCTGCATTTCAGCCTAAAAAAACCTAAATGCAGCACTGCTGCCCTAACTGATGAGATCTTGGAGATTTATCAACTTCCCCGTCATATACATCCAATCTAATCATATATTATTCTCAAACTATGGCTCCGACACAGCACTCCTAAAGGTCTAAAGTTCATATTGCTTCCTGAAGTAAAATGCCCTTCTTTCTCATTACTGCTAACTAACAGTCAGCCCTTCTTTCAGACCAAATTGAAAACTCACATCCCTAAGGCTCTCCAGAGCTTTCCCACCCTATACTGGTCCCTGCTGCGTGTATCAACACTTGAGGGTGTAATGTACACTTGTGTCCTACAGTATCATGTTCTTACAAGTGTGTGTGTTTAGATTCCCCAAACCAGCACTTACATTTCTCATCTCTCTCGTAGTCCCTCTTATAAATGCATGCAGAGAACGTCCTAGGAGGTTCTAGTAGGAGAGTGTGCCTAGTCACATTCCTGGACAAAAGAGTGGTCCTCCTCCATCTACGATGGTCACTCTCTTTGATCAGCGTACCACCTCTAAAGCACAGATGCCCACAGAGTGGTGCATAAGGAAGGGGACACTTTCCTACCTAGCCAGATGAACCAAATTAACCCCAGCAGTGGTTCTCAAGGTTTGCCACACATTACAATCTCCTGGGGATCTTTTTTTAACGTATAACAGTGCTCAGGCCACACCACCTGACTCTCTGATTCAGTTGGTGGAGGGTGAGGTCCTGCTATCAATTGTTATTTTTTTAAAGTTTCCCCAGATGATTCTAATGTGTATCAAGGGTTGTGAACCATTGGATTGTAGCAACTAACATAATACAGAAGCAATACTATATTCTGACAGAAAGCAGCAGTGTGGATAAACAACTAAAAGAACTTCACAGAAACTTGGTAAAGTGAATTCAAGCAATACTATTAATTACATCACTATAAAGAAAAGATGTCGAAGTTTAAGACAGGGATTATGATGTTTAAAATGGTTAATCAAGTATTTAGCAAAAAAGGCTGGCAGGTTATACATCATAATTCACAGGAATGCTTCAGTTCACAGACAAGAACCTCAGCAGCAGCCTTTTCAATGAGAATGGTCTGTAAATCTTGAAAGCCGTAGTTCTGCTCTTCCCAGCAACAAAAACGCAAGGAAAATTCCCTACTTCGTTTAACCACCAATATAAAATCAATCATGGTTTCATAACCTGTTAGAGCTGAACGAGCTTAGATCATCTAATCAAATCTTCAAACAGACGTGTTTTCAGAAATGTTAGCTATGCATAGTACTCCTAAAAAAAAAAAAATTTAACATTGTTTTTAATTGCTTTGAACTTATAAATTGCATTGTCGTGAGTATAAAGTAAAACTAAAAAAAGATGTGCCCCCTAAAAGGAAATACTACAATTGCTTCATTATAATTTGCTTTGCTGAAATTATTGACAAATACAACTAGAAAGCATACTTGCTAATGTAACATTAACAATCAATAGTATTTCTTAAAAATTTAGGGGTTTTGAGTGACTAATAGTAGCAGGAGAAAAGTAGCAAGGGGGGAAAAAAAAATCTGCCTTTTCTCCTCCCAAGAGACCAATGAAGCGAGCTCACCTGGAAGTCATCCTTCACCGCCTGGAGGTCATACAGGAAGAACTTCTGACAGTGCGGCAGGAGGAGGGCCAGCAAAAGGGACAGGGCACTGGGGACCAGTAGGAGACTCTTGGACAGAGGGGCCTTGTCTGGAGGGAAAAAGAAAACCACTTTCAGTATGACTGTTCTTAGGATTTAAAAAACCACATGGCTGAAAACCAAGACAATACAGTTCATTTGAATGAGACTGAAGACCAAGTCTAGAAAATCTGAAATTTAGTTCTTATTAACATATATTTTCAAAACATCAAGCTGAAAAGGTAAATGACTGATGAACAGTGGAAAACCAATGGAATTCACTGGCAGGAGCTTCACTGTCAATAGGTTCTTAAATGAGACTAAAGCAAGAAGCCAGCCAGTAACTTCCACAGAATGCCTTTCAGAAAATGGTTACCGAAGCATGGAGAAATAGACAGAGGTGTGTATCTTCTGTCAAATCAACCAGTTAGTTCTGAGCATGGACAAGATTCATATACACAAATATATTCATTACACAAAAATTAAAAATAGGTTGAAAGTGTGAACTGTGGCGGTGGCCCACTGAGGTTTTCTACCGTGAGAACCGGTACACTTGGAGCCTGAGTCATTTTTGTTTGAGGGCCTGACATGACTTCTGTGGCTTATAGCAAAGCAACTACACTCCTCTTGCCCCCTGAACTCATCATTTACAGGTAAGTATGATATAAATACTCTATCAAAGATATTTGGGATATTTCACTTCCGGCAAAATGGCACTCTAGGCAGAAGCACCATGCCGACCCTCCACAGCAAAGATCCGAAAAAAATAAGCTGAACAGAGAAAACAACAATCCTGAAACCCTAAAACATCAAATGAAGATAAAGAACTCAGCCAAGCACCAAATGGAGTGAGAAAACTGACAGAGAACGGAGAGCGAGGAGAGATTCATGCAGAGGTCCCCTATCAGCTAACGCAGCGCGGATCTGCCATCCTGGACTCCTATAGGGGACCAGCAAACAGGGGGTACGAGAAGGCAGCTTCACGGAGCTTCCAGAGGGAGACAAAACAACCAGTAATTTGCGATATACGCTTTACCACCCCCCACCCTTCTTCACCCCCACTTGACCTCCTCTGCTTCCTGCGGCCACAATCTCTTGTCCAGGAAGCACAGGCTGCTTGGATTCCACCCACCAGAACGGGCCAGCTCTCTGAGTGCCATTTGTTGGCTGCTGGTGTT